GAGGTGGTCATTAAAATGATAGAACTGAGCTCCAACGTTTACCGCGTCTTAAATAAACCGAATGGCTATTAACAAAGAGATATTGGGTTGTCATAATTCCTGTCCGAATTTCGACACTTTCTTCTCATCGAGTTTTATCTTTCTCTAAAACCAATTGATCAAAAATATAACCATTATCATAATCACCGATATGCATCCATTCACCAGGGAACCTTTGGATGCTTTCCTCCTAGAATGGGTGAAGCTATGAGCTGAAGAATTCAGCAAGGTCGTTTTTGGAGTGGTTGTATTTACTTTTTTTCTCTCGCCGCTGCTGCTCAAGGCACTGTGAAGGGATAGCCCGATGGAGTGATGCCAGGGCTATACGATGGACATGGTATCGTGGTCCAGCCAGTTTCCCTCAGAACGTAGCGAGTTATCTTTGCAATGTGAGGTCGGGCGTCTATTCGGAGAAAGGGGATTTTGGGACGTTTAGACGGTTCTCTCCCACTACTGCGGCCAACCCGGGAGCTGTTCCACGATGGCATTCGCAATACTTGTCCGCATATAGCAAAACAACTGTGAAAACGGATGACCCACTCAATCTAACAAATCAAAAGCAATATTCTCTGACCACGGAGTTTGGGCTTTTGTTGAGCTGGTGAGCCCTGGCTGCGAGGTAGCCATCAGGCGTGCTGCGTGTTGTTGTCGTAGTGAACTCATGACTCATCCCCACTAGTGATCAACTAGGGAACGCTCTGCTATTGAGGTCACAGAATGAAATTCCCCCAGAGGGTCAGACCTGCTTCTCGGTCATGGCTGGTCGGTGCATATGGTTTCCATCAAGTCTTCATTCTGCTGCAGCCCACTTCATCCTGATGGCGTGTGCTGGTGCATCGGCTGCGCCAGGTGTCTGCTACAATACCCTGGTAGTAGCGTCCGTGTGCACTTCCAATCCGTGGCGCAAGGGGTCCTCATCGAAAGTGAGTGGAGGCCCAGGATGAGGCTGATTTCACAGCTCGTATTGTCTTTGCCATTGCGACCGAACCTCTAGCTCAGTGACCGATCAGTAGCAGAGACTGAGCCAAACACAGCGCTGATCTTCTCTAGTGCCTTCCTTGCGCATAATCGTTCGTTATTGTCACTGATCTATTTCGACTTCTACTCAGTTATCCGATGCGGGTTTGACCTTCCAAAACGTCCTGGCTAACGGTCTAGATGCACTCTTTGACATACCAACATATTTCGCAATGACACTAATTCGACTTGAAGAAATTTGAAATTTGATCAAAAATCGGACAGGAATTATGGGACAACCTAGGTTAGACCACCTCTGCGATGAAGTCATTTGTTTTATGTGCCACTGCTGAGTCTACTTACTTCGGTTAGCTACTGCATTCATGAGTAAACATATCCCTCTCTATATATAAAGCAGTAAGGATGTTTGTCTTTCTCTCTGTTTGTAACCACTAGTATTACAAATACCAAAACGATTTGAACCTTGCATGACCTCCTGGATTGGTGCCACAACTGTAGCTTTCACTAAATTCCACTTAACGCCGCGTTAGATTCATAGCAAACTCAGCAAGAAATAGAATCACGTAAGAGGCAGAAAACTTACTTTTTTGCTTAGTAGGAGATAAGGTTACACTGTTCAGGCGCACTGACTTCGAAGCCTAAATTACTTTCAAACTGAAAAAAAGTCTTGAAGTAGCTATAAAACTGAACGCACCACCTTGTTGACGATGTTGTGAAGAGGTTTCAGCCTATCAGGATCGTAATAGTTTGCGAAGCAGCTCATCCCGGGCACAATCAAACGTGACTGAAACAGGAACAAAATGCAGAAAGAGGTGCTACCACGAGAGCAAATGTGATTGTGATAAATACATATTCGAACAAGAAAAAACGCACAGAACTAGCCAAAGGATCGTTTTGATAAGCAGCGATTTCTTCTTGAAATTTTGAACGGATCCGAGAAATCAGGTTGTTATCCAACTCATCCACAGTTTTCATCGCATCCCGTAAAACCTGCAGGTGTAAAACACATAACTGCAGAATTAAAATTTATGACAAGGGAATGGTTTACAGGTCGATCAGGCCAATTCCAGAAAAGTGCGTACCTCTGTGCTCCCCAGTGTACGCCATTATATCGCTGCAGCAGTGATCCCGATTCATAGGATCGCCCATGCACTGGTTTGCTCTTCTGATTTTATTTTGCAACATCTTAACGTCACTCTATCAACGTTCAAAAAACTAAGGTAGTAAGTGGTGACAATTGCAAGTGTTTGTACATCATTTACAAATAATGCCACGCGAATCGTAGAGTTTTGATTTTTATTTTCAGAAGCATGGCTGAAAAGTAACTTGATCGTAAGAGAAAACAAGAGTCGAACTCATCCACAAACCAAGACAAGTTCATGAATGATAGGCGAGTGCCTCAGACTTTTGAAATTAAATCACTATCTAGAATTTGGAAAAAAATTATTGCGCTCAATAGTAATTTGTCCCTTGAGCATGAAAATCGCATTTGTTTGGTGCGATTCGCGCGCTTCACTTGCTATGGTAAGGGTGCATGAAGTAATTGGGCGCAAATGGTGCCTAAAATTGTTAAGAACTCCGTAAATACAATCGTAGAATCTTTATACAGCTTCTACGCAAGCGTTGATAATGAAGGAATGAGAGGTTTTTTTTGCTGTTACAGGTCACTGACAAGAGGCTAAGCAAATTGGTCAAAGATTCTGATCCAAATCTCCTACATGTGAGCGCGCACCACTACCGCTGCGCTCCCCTACCTCATAGACGAGTCAGATAATCGTGTTACAAAACTCTAGAGAGGATTTGAGCCCGCCATTTAAAGATGCCACATCATCGTGCACAATCACTGGAAGTGACAAGATCGACCTATTGGCATGTACTGGTGAAGAGAACGTCTTATTGAAGACTAAAAATACGCCTCATTCCTCAATCGTACGAATTTCTGCACTTACTGAATTCAGCACGTCGATGACTTTGGGCAAAGTCTGCTTGACCTGATTATTCAAAGCTTCGAAGTCTTTGAACTTCGACATGAAATCCGATTTCTGAACAAAAATGGCGATTTCATCATGAAAAGAAACGAGACGATCGAATGCTAGAGAAGTACTTGCCATTTTATTGCTAGACTTTGCAGCTTCGTAGTCCATCAACTTGTCGTTTCGTTTTCGTATGAGTTTCTTTGGAATAGCTCGTAGCGCTTTGACTATCTCATCCCGAACTCTAGAATTCATTCACTAGTAGGGTGAAATCAACAAATTACCAAGATACTAGATTTGTAATAGTCGCATTCTAAATTACCTGCTGTTAAGGTCCACAGCTAGATCTTTGATCATGTCATGAAAAGGAAACGTTTGCGCATCGGCGCTAACACCGGGTACTTCTCGTTTCCCTTTAAATTAGAAAAATTAGTGACCGAAAAATGGTTTTACGCGTTCTACACAATTTCAGAAGTTTTGTGAGAATGATTACAAACAGGATTTGAAGCAACAACCCCAGACGAGGTCGTGTCTGAATCTGTTCTGTGAATGGAATAGAGTAGCCCACGAGCATCACAGAGGCACCGTTATCGTTGGCTCGAATGCGCGACAATAGGTCTTACAAGTGATTCGACAGCCACTGAACGAACATTGCGGACGAGTACCTCTCGGCTCGCCTCCACGAAAGACCTAGCGGAATACACGCCAACCGTGATAAAGTGGTACGCTATGCACGATGCATGCTTCCAAAAAATCTATACACGCCCTCTCCACCTACGTCATATCAATCACTCATTTATAGTCGAAAGTAATAAATTGAATCCGAACTTTGAGCAGTTTGCTCAGGCTTACTAATGTAATTCAACTTGCAACACTGTCTAATCCCGAGATGCAAGCCTTATTTCATTTCCATAAGATAGAAAAACATACATACTACCGGTCAATAATCGTCGGATACCTGCCGATTCAAGAACCCTCTATTCGCTGTAAAATACCCAACATGTAGTGACGCGACACGCCGTCGCTCTCGCTGATCTAATCCACCACACAAATCGTCAAAATCAAGCATCTCGTGCTGAAATTTTCAAAAGTATGCTGAACATAAGAATTTTGAGAAACGTTTGATTCGATTTCCTGGAAAATTGGATCTAAATGTGCCTTCAAAATTTGCGATTTGGCAGCAGTAGGATGCACGGGTTTTATGTTATTCAAACTACCTCCAGCCGCTCTCTGGAGCGCTTATCAATTTTCCACAAAAGATATGAGCAACACGCTACGCAAATAGAACTTGGCTCGATACTTAGTCCTTCGCGAAAAAGGAGTCTTCCAAGTTCCGATCCACAGGTTTAGCTAAAGCTTTACCCTACCTCAACAACAGTGCCGTTATCAAACTGCGACCCACACATCCCCCATATGCTCTTCCAATTACTTTACTAACTCCTCACCCACATCTTCTCAATCACCTCCACAGTGCTTAACTTCACCCTGAGTAGGAAGGCCGCCATCAATAATTAGGTGTCCTCAGAAGTTCGTTCGCGTATGAACTTAGTTGAGCTTCCGCCTTTTCCAAGCACATTGCAATCTACATCGTTTATGACACCACTATCAGACTGTACCAAACATCCAACCAAGAAGGCTACAACCTCTCAAAAAGGCTGGCAGTAGAGCCTGGAAAAGCAGTGCAGTTGATTTGAGTCCGTTGGAAAGTATTTGTCGCCACCGAAGGCAGCTTGAAGCAAAAAGGCAGAATTCTTCGAAACCACCCGGGATGATACGCTGCAATCGATGATGGTAGGACTTTCAACTAGGCTTCGATATTGAGAATCGCTTCATTTTCGAAACGTGTAGTCTCAGGTGTCGTGGAGCGTACACACTTTTTTTGAGTTTTGACGGCAGTTGTTGGACTTTCACCGTGAGTCTCTGCCGTTGATCTGCCTACACATGAGTGAATTCATAGCTATAATGATTGACATGCCTTTAGTGGTTTACTCGAGAACGCGCCAAAAGAGGTGAGCACGACCCCCTGGAATTTCTTCACTTCACCCCTCCTGTCCATCCACGTCCCTAGGATTTCATTTGTGGTTACCATGCCAACCTGAGCTTCTCACTGGCAGTCCCTGCTTTGGTTCACCAGGCTAACGGGGAGTAGGACGACTGTCGCACTCTCTGTCATCGGTGGTCAATTCATGGGGGAATCTTTGGCGAGGCTTCAAGCATATTTCGAAGGAGCGAGAACCTTCACGAATTGTGCATCTGGAACATCAGGATGTGGTGGCCACAAAGCAGGGAGCCCCGTGTGGAGTGGCTCCCAGGAAAGAGTACAGGCTCTCCAAATCCGACACTGATGACCTCTCTGAACGAGGGTTTGTCTACCAGCTGTAGTCTCCCAAGCAGAGAAGATCCAGCTATTCTGATACCTCACTGTTGGTGAGGGCAAGGAGATGCACCGCGATGCAGACGCCGCTTTTGGCTTCAATCGGTTTGTGGCTCAGTAGAGCTGCTTACGTCAGAGCGCGAAAAACATAGCTCTTCTCTCTTTCCACTTTGAGCTCGAAGAAGGCGACGATGGTGGGTAAGATTCGGGTATAATTTACTACACGGTGTGCCCTATCTACAGCCTACGTGAACATATAAATTGATTGAAGAGGCTTGTCATAATCAAAAGAAACGCACGAACTTTCGACGACAACTAATACAACCGAAGGTAAACCTCCAACACTTTCAGAAGACTAATGTAACAGCACAAAAAAACTCGAAAACTTACTATGACACGCAAGTGAAATCCCAATACGGTAGGAACGCGATTGGTTTCTCCTGATTGAATGAGACAGTGAACTTTGAAAGCTTATCGCCAAGTGATGTATTTGATTGCTCTTCAGTGTACTTGCGAGCTGAACTACATAACATAGACAACAGAAAGGTTAGACAGATACCTTGTGGAACTGTCAAAACATACTCAGTTCTTTCCTTCTTTGCTCAATTCATTGAACCCAAGGCAACAGCTGCCTTGACACTCCATTCCCAATTTAGGATGGTCCGGATGAGTCAGAGCAGTATACTGGAAAAAATAAATTAGCGGCAATGCGTTCTAACACTTCTTATTGCATAGATACCACTTACTTTCGCAATCTCACTTAGGAATAACGGATACTTCACACAACGTTGTACCACACGCGACCGCAAAGTGGAAGCATCAAAACACAACCGCGCGCGTGCACGCATAAACAAACAACCAACCACTAGCGCGTCTCTATTTGATCGTCTGAAAATTGTACAGCACCTATTAGGTATCTGAATGAGTGGGCCGCAAAGAAGTGTTAACCAAGGAAAAGGAAAGACAAATAATTAGGGAACAAATAGTGAAGTCCAAAACTAACCGAAGCTGTCAACAAAGAATTAATGTGGTCGATATTCCTGAAATAGTACCCATATGTACTTGCGAATGATTTGCGAAGCCTGAGAAAACATTCGCCTATCATTTTTGCTTCTCGACCGGTTACTGAAATATGCACCAGATAGGTACATACTGAACCAAAACGACCACTCTTGCCTAATAAAGTATGTCTGAAAGTGCAAGCGGTTCTACCTTTGAAGAGTGACTCCCTCCTAGTCTCACACATAACTCACTGGTTCTGTTCCGCCTGGCCTTATGCTAACTTTAAAATGCGACAACCATGGACATGGGAATTTAATGCTAGTGAAGGATGATAACTCACTTTGTTCATTCGTGAGCCCTTGGACTAGAGCACGCGCTAACTCAACCACCTGAGCGCAACCATTTTTCATGATAACTTTCTGTTGGGTTGAGAGGCTGGCTCATCAACAGCCTAAATTTAAAGATGCGATAAGACTGTATCACAAGTGATTCCTCAAAATACCTCGAAAAGCAGTATATCCGTAGAATTGAGAGCTCTTGTTTATAACCTTCAAGAACTCGAGCGCTTCTCTGTTCAAAATGGAATTGAATGGTCAGTGATACGGCAACTCTGCGAGAACATTCAGTGGTAAGAAATAACAATGATGGCACTCCAATAACAATACCGTTTCTCCGCCATTCCCAGCATTTCGGTGACAGAAATCATTTCCGATGGAGACATGCTTGTGACCTTAAAAAGCAAGAAAAAGAATAAGTCACTATCTACTGTGTATAATTCGGCGCATACCTTTGGTGGAGGTGGGCGAGCTGGCGGCGGTTTCTTTTCAGCAATATTCCAGTCATCCAACCTGACAAGCCACGCAGCGACTGTGTAGCTGGAAATGGGAAAACACATCACAAATACAAAGACAAAAAATGTGTTGCTTTCGAAAAACGAGCTGCAGTTAGGTGATCGCCAGAGAGTAATTATTACCTGGTGGTGGCGTAACATCTTCTACTCTTGTTGAGGTGCGCCAGTCGGGAACGATGGGAGGAGCGGCGAATGAAGTGTTCGTAAGAGTGGAAAACTTAAACGTGATATTGACGATACACAAAGTTCAATATTGTTTTCAAGCAAGCCCATTACAGAGCTCCTTAGATAACAAGGATACGGAGAAAAAAGTTGGATTAAGGCGACAAATTCCATCCAACTAGTTTTTCTAAACTACTTTTATCAGAAGTAATTATTCAATTCCATCAAAAATGCCATGTACTGTCGGCTTAAAGGAATTTAATGCGAAGGATGTTATGTTTTTCTTCGGTGGGTTGCTCATAACAACAAAAGGAACGGTTCTAGCAATAATCGTCAGACTAGAGCTCAAAGTGTAGAAGAAGGTATAATATGTAGCAAAACTCCTTGGAGTACGCCCTCATGAGAAAGATACCTTAGTATTACCTTCATTATCTTTTGAATCACTGGCGTAGTGTAGTCTACGATTAGCTTTAACTTCTATGACAGATGTGACAAATGGATTTTTCTCGGACGATAAACAACCCCTTTTCATAGCAGACAGCGCCCAAACTAAACTACATATAGCTTCAAAAAATGCAACATAAGTTCTCTAAGGACTTCTTCCCTCAGTACCCACCACTAATATAACTCCTCCTGGTTGCGCTTCCACTGCGATTCGTTTCCTACTTCCAAACCCCGTCTCCTTCTCACCATATTCTTCAAGGAGAAAAGATGAGGGAGAAGAGCTGTTCGCGAATATTTACTTCATATTACTTACTTTACATATGTTCTGCAGCGCTCAAATTCACGCCCTTTCCTTCCCGCACGCGAAAGCAAAGGGCGAGCCGTCGATCTCGCATCAATGGCATTGTTTCGCCTTCCCACCTCGTCAGACTGTTCAATGTACCAAATAGGGTATCCAAAATCCGTATTCCCACTAGTTCTTTTTTTACATGTTAGATGATGGATATGCAATGGATATTCACTTCTCAATCCTAACCGATGCGATTTCTAGGTGATACAACCGGAAAGACATGTTGAAAAAGATAAGAACAACTGCGATGGAACAAAAAGGCATTCTATGCTAAAGAAGTGAAGAAAGGTAAGCCATAACTAGTAAAATTAAGCTAATATGAACGAAACTAACACTTTGTTCGGTATAGCTTGCTGGACGATTCTGGTTCGTTGCCTCGCGAACATCATCCTCATCCTCATCTAAGTAAACCTAAAACTCAACACGTGAAACAGGACTTCGATGAAGCTAAAAGAAAATCTAATCAAAAATGGAACATGTTTCACCTATATTTCAAATTCCATACGCATATACGGACGGACACCCACATCGAACTCCGAAATGTACTCACCTCTAGAAATGCTACCGGCACAATTCCTGAAGCATCCGTTGCTGGGTCCTTACAGGACACCCAGTCAGTGTTCACCTATAAGGCATCCGCAACTAGAGGGTTCACAGTATAGGGCATTGTAGATAAGAAACACTAACCATTTTAAGAATCCTGACTGAATCACCCATTTTCACCGTGAGCTCGTCATTTTGTCGGGCAATAAAGTCATGTCGAACAATGGCAAAACTAAATTGAAGGGAAATGATAAGAATACTGGCGAAACCAAGCGGAATACGATGAACGCACCCCACTCCTTCCTCGGTGGTGCTTTGTCGCTTGTTTTCTGTGTCACTTTGGATGTCACTAGGTAAATCCACAACAATTTGAACAAACGACTGCGGGAAAATACCCGATTTTCCGTTCACATTACCTAGAATAAGGCATGTAGTGGTCTATAAGAAGGTCAAGTATTAAGGGAAAGCAAACAGGGAGTTACCTTCTAGCCAATCTTTATCAACTCGCTTTGTCAAAGTAACGATATCGTCAACGTTCAAAGATAGCTCATTGGCGAATTCAGCGCTGAAATGAATAGACCAGAACTATTGACCAAACTTACTTACTCGCTTATAGAATCGAGTGATGAAAGCAAAGACGGTTATGCGTTTTTTCCATTCGTATTAAGATTGAACACTCGTCGCATAAGCCATTTTTATAAATGCTTATGAATCTGCTGCCTTAATTACGAAGATGAACATTCTACAGCATATAGCAAAAACGACCTTCTCGAGCTGCGATTTCTTGTTTAATAATAAAATTTGGGGACAATTAAAATAAGGAAGAATGAAAGACACTCACGTGAAAGGATAAACCACTCTCGCATAAGGTAATACGTTGTAGTTAGAATTGCTAGCTTCTCTAAATCGCACGTCTGTGAAATTTGTTGTAAATGAAGTTGGTATGGCAGGAGGTGCACTCGGTGGAGCCACAAAACCCGTCAGCTAAAAGAAGAAGTGATGGGACTCGAAATATCAAAAAATGTTAAATAACAAGAGTTGTTTCATATTAATACCTCTTGTGAATCTTTACAAGCTAAATCACATGCACACATGCTACGTAAACACTTTGTTGTGTGGCCTCAATTAATATTTCAAGATGTACTATAAGTTACTTGAAAACAAAATGGCGAGGTAAATTAAAAGTAGTCTGTAAGCATATGTTCGTAAAACCTGTTTCTCACTAACTAGGCAACGTTGAATGGAAGAGGACTGTGGGTTAATCGACAAAGTCGAGAATGATGAAATATGCAGACCAAACTGCTACGTGAAATTTTAAGCAAGCAGTAAGGTCCAAGATGGAAGGAAATGTAACGTCAGTATTTGATGCAAACTAATCTGTCCACAACAGCATTACTTATTTCGTCTTAAACTTGGCCTTTGAGGGTAAACAGGTGATCTTATCGAATATGACATTCTTTTCGACTCAGGTGCAGACTAGTGTGAGCGTCATGGGGTCAGCGTTATTCAACGCGAGATGATGATGCTTGGAATCACCTTACAAAGCAAAGGCAGGAGAATCCGGAGTCGTTTTTGCCAGAAATCGAATATCAGGTGGGCGAAACACCTCATGCGATTCTGGTCAGACTTTCACGAAAGCTCTGAACGAAAGTAATGAAAAGTTTTGTGTCTCGAGCAAGGAGGACCCACTGGACCACTCTAGCACGCGACAGGGACGAATGGAGACGTTGCTGGCGCCCGCTCGAGCAATTCGATGATCAACGGGACGACAAGGTTATACATGTCTTCTGCTTCTGCTTTAGCCACCGAGATACACATGTTATACATGTGATGTGACGGACTTGTGAAAAGTATGCTTGCTTTACCCAGTTGCCTAGATCTCCATCGCGACTCCAGTATACAGTTTTAAGCCACCCCTGATCACTCAATACTCCCTCACCATTTCGGAAAAAGTAATTCACTACCAGCAACGTCAAAATCTTTCTATAAACGCTGTGGTGGCCTATTCCAAAAAAAAAACTGCTCTTCAAGTCGAGCTGATTTTTTTATTTAGTTGATTTTTCGTTTGCGTCGACAAGAAAAACTTCCAATGAACTCATCAATCCGGCAGGAATAATCGAGTAAATCGCAGGCATATTACTGGAGTCCACCCACTTGCTCAGGGTACTTCATCTTTACAGAGATTTTCATCGGGTTGCCCATACTTTGAAGGGGCTGGCCAAAATCTCCCGAGTTCAGCTGAACAGTATGCCCATCATCCTGTTTAGCATACTGGAGACAAGAATGAAAACAACGAACTCAACCAGTCATGAGTCATGGGTTGCATGCACAGTTTATAAACCACATCGCCAGAAAGGGAGCAATCTACCAGAGAAATGCTTTGAATACAGAGAGATAGGAAGCATTCTAACAACCTCAAAGTGTATTTATGAAATTATTGAAAAAAATATTATTAAAAAACCTGTATTTGCTTATGAACTGACAAACTAGGTAACAGAAAAGTCGCACCGTTTAATTAAAATAGATATTGTTCGAAGCACATACCTCCGTAACGAAGTTAAGAGGAAAAGTTCCGCTGGAACCCAGTCGCTTACCGGCATCTGTCACAACGACGCCGCTACAATAGCCTCCAGATGGTACAGTGTCAGAAACTATAAAATGCTTTACAGTTAGGCATAATACAATCAACTATCTTGTTCCATCATCCTAGCGTTGCGTTAGCATAGAAAGAAATATGCCTGGCTCTCTTTAACATGGATCTCCAATGTGAACTACGTTCTGTTCCTAGAAGCATCTTGTTCTCCAAGATCAAGCAAGAAAAAAGAAGCGTATAAAGCTAAGCTGCGAGTTTTTGTTGAGGCGATATACAACGTAACCGCAATTACTGACACTTCTGCGATAGGTTTGTTAGAAGAATAAAAGTATGGTTGATTACCTATAATGGTGTATATGCCGAAGGCTAAGTCTCCATCCTTCTGAGCATCATACTGCGCAATAGAACATAGCACTTTTTCTGACGCGGTTCTGTAATTGTAAGTATAGACAGAGTAACAGTAAGTAGATAGGATAAGAAACAATAGAAAAGCTATTACACGATGAATTCAAAATATTGCCTCGAGCCTACGAAACATTACCACTACAATTACAAGCAAAACGCGACACCAAACCGAAAAAGCTGAAGTAGGAAAGTCAGACGCGGAAGCCTCATTGCAGACAGCTCAAAGCACGGTCGCAAAGAAGAACTTGTTAGACAAAGCCCTACCGCAAAGGATTTACTATGGAGTTTGTGAGGATCTTCGGCACTCGTCCGAACTGCCCATCAAGCGTTTTCATGACATACCTTAATTGCACAAAAATCTCAATTTTCGCAAAGAAGTGATCATAATGCGATGGAAAATCACCAGTCGCCATCTTCTCCAGTCAACTGGATGACTTGGTCTTGCGCAACTGCAGTTCTAGTTTGTGGATCTTCTACTGCATTGCTTACTCGAGCCCAACATGGAAATGTTACTGACATTTCCTCTCCTAAAATAAAGTGTGCATTAATAGAGCATAATGACCCTAAATGTCATGGCACACGAAATTCAACGCAATACTAACAAATTGTTGAACGTTCACGAGAGAGCTATTTTACAACACAAGCTTATTCGAACAGAGAGAGCTTCTTCAAAATTTCAACCTTCTGCTGAACCGAACAAACATCCAGCTGTGAGTTGTCATTTTTAGTGTGACAGCATAGTAAAACTTTCTAGTTTCCAGAGGGGAAGCAACAGTTGCAAATTGATTATGGATGCCAATACACAAAGTGAAATCAGCTGGTTCCACAATGTTGTTTATTTTGCGAGAGAGCAAGAGTTTAAACAAACGATTCACGGGATGAGATCAAAAGAAGGCCCACACCCGGTTTCTGTAAAATTGCGGCAGCACTGGAATTCCACGCGAATGTGCACACTTTTCTCTACTGACGATGGGACGTTAGTCTCGTCTTTGCCTGTGATTAGTCCTATTATTGTTTCCCGCTTACATTACAATAATGGGTGCTTGGTGGTTGGGGGGACCACGCGGCGGCGCGGCAGTCTGCTCGCCTGGCATGTTCGGAAATCCGTGAGGCCAGGGGGAGTGTAGGCAGTCTAGGGGGTGGGGGCAGTCACTTGACATGCGTGAAAAGCTGGAATGTTCGAGTTTACACTGTCTCGCTCGAGAGAGCCAGGTGAGCAGACTGCCGCGCCGCCGCGTGGCCCCCCCCCCAACTAAGTTAGCACCCAATAATGTTCCATTCTCACTGACTTCGGCACAGTATGGCTCGGGGAAACACTCCTGGAAAGGGTTCTAGAACTAGACGTAGCTCTTAGCTCTAACGCTGTCCCAACGAACTCCAAAGGATTCGCAAATTGCTCGCAGGATTCTCTTCCTCTTCAAGTCTTACCAGGAATTTATTCAACTTCCCATGGAACTTTGAATTGAGACCCAGATATATCGATAGAGCTTCAAACGCTGATTACAAATATGGAAACTAAAACTGCAAAATGAACCTGCCAAGGAAGTTGTGAGCAGTCAAAGTTGGCTGGAAGTAAAGCATTACATATGAACCTGCCCCAGGCTTTCAGAGTCGCCGCGGAGTAGTGGTAGTGCCCTCGCTCTTCACCCTGGAGGTCATAAGTTCTCCTCCCGTTGGAGTGCAAATTTCGAGAGCACTACCACTACTCCACGGCGACTTTGAAAGCCCGGAGGCTAGCACGGTGTAATGCTTTACTTCCAGCCAACTTTGACTGCTCACAACTTCCTTGGCAGGTTCATTTTGCAGTTTTAGTTTCCATATTTGTAACCTAGTAGCTTAGTACTACATTACTCTACTTTTCCAGGACGCGAAATAAGCGATAATGATAATGGAAGTGTTTCATTGTAGTGAGCGCCTTGAATGCCCTGCGCCAGGACACCACCACCAGGGTCAATTGTCTGTTTGAAGTATCGGACGAGGAGGTCGTATTTTCCTCATTCAGGTAAACCCGCTCGCGCCAGAAATCGTGGCGATATCGTCGCTGGTACGTGATGAGAGAGAAAAACTCTCGAGAAGAACATTACTTGGTGGAAAAAAATGAAATAAAAGTCGTTTCAATTTGAGTTTGACCATTTCATATCTGACAAACAGATCGATGGGGTGACACGAGCTTTGCCTGAGGCTGCGGGGAAGATGGCGAGCGCTTGAAGTTTATGCAGTCTAAATGATACTATCTGAACTTATCTTTAAGCTCAGGCTCGCCTGGTTTAAGCATGAAAAAATATGCCTTTGAATGCCTTCGTAACTTTGAACCACAGGTGCGTGCGGACGCAACTCAAAGCAGGACTCATTGGAGGCAAGCGGTTAGATTCGATTCACTACGAGTGGAAAATTGTTTTGGACGAATCGCGGTGTTTTCGAACTGAATAGAAGAGCAAGGAAATCCAATGATATATCAGGATTGACTTTTCGAGGCTAGAAATAAAAGTTTAACAGATTCGAGCTTTTGAAGAAAGCTTCTACAAGACGGTTTTGCTAAGCTTGTTAGACTAATCTGATTATTTCCAAACGTACCTCCTTCTACAAAAACAGGATTTTTAAAGAAAGTTATG